CAATCCATTGCACATTTGAAATACATGATATAACAGTGAAGTCTAACATCAACCAGTTATAAACATCTAGTGAGCAAGTCCACCATCTCTGTTGTTCACTGAAATTATGAAAGAATTTAGAGCATAACAGAACAATTTACTCATTTATGTCCAAGCAGATCATAGAGTGAAGCACACCACTGTAAACCACTTACTTTGGAATGATTTAACCCTTTCTTTCTTGGGATCTCATTAGTAATTCTCATTACTGTCTGCCATACAATTCTTATGAAGTTAGTTTGGAGAATTTGGTATTGGATCAACTAATAATCCCTAATTGATATTTTTCTTCATTCTCATTACTTGTCTTCTTGGCATTGTATTAGTGTTGTTAGAAGAAATTCTGTCTTGGTCACACAGAGGAGTTAAAGGGTTAAATATTTTTGTTCACAATCTTAGTGATTTCATGCACAGGTAAAAGGCATGATTTACAGATGTCATCCTTGTAACATACAAAATATACCAATAACATCTGTTAACCCTTTCACTCCCAAGATCTCATTGTTAATTCTCCTCCACAAGTACACTTACTGGTGTAATACAGTTACTGTCAAAGTGTTCAGTTTTTTCTTTTTCTGGTGGTAAAAGAGCTCCTACAGAAGAAAGTAATAAAATCTGTTTAGTGTACAATTCCAAACTGCATGAAACTTGACCTGTCTGAGCATCTGGGAGGGGTAACTTTTCCATTTGGACTAGAAAAAATATGACTTTACTTGTTTGATCAGAAAACCATGGGCAATAATTTATTTTTTCACCAAACTTTGGACATGATACATCATTTCCAATTTTGATAAGTTTGTTTCCCATAAAAAAAAACCCACTAACAGAGAGTAATATACATTTAAGCATCATTTTGCATACCTTTTTCCATTAATTCCCCTCGAATTCTTGCCATTTCCTCTGCTTTTTCCCTAAAAAAGGTTAAAATTTAGGATTTCCTGCCATTATGTTTTGATCTATGGTGCAAACACTTGCACTAACTGGGTTACTGTTTTATTACTAACTTGGTTTCTTTAGATGCTCTGAAACGACGAGATCTTTGCTGGTTCATTTTTGCCCTTGGAGCCTGCAATAGAAATGAAAAAAATTAAGGACAAGCATTCATAAATATTGTCATAAATAAGCAAAATGGAAAAATAAATGTATATTTTATAACAGATTAATAAATATACTAGCAGAGTGCCTCTTACCACTCCATCAATGGCCATGTAAAGCAACTTTCTGGGTCTAACTATAGAGAAGATTCTGTAAAAAAAAAAAAAAAAAAAAGGACATTGACTGTAGTGGGTAATGAATGTTAAATATAGGTCAATGGAATATGCCATAGATAACAACTAGGAGCAAATATGGTCAGTAGTGTTTTGAAGTGTTTGATAAATGTCTTGGCTGGCTGTTAGCATTCATGCAGCATTTGTTGCATTCTGTTTGGAGCAGTACTGTGGTCGTTGGGACCTTGAGGCCGTCCTTATCCAGTGGTATACCTTACCAGTGCATGTGTTGTTCTACAGAGTGCTTGCATTGTAATCGCTGTTCTATAGTGTGGTATTATCATCCTTGCAGATTATGGTTCTTGGCATCCCCCCCTAACCCTAACTGCAGGGTTTATTTCTATTTATTATTATTATTATTATTATTATTATTATTATTATTTTTATTATTATTATTATCATTATTATTATTATTATTATTATTATTATTTTTCATTTATTGACTCATTTCGTTATTCATGTTTTCCTCCGCTCAGCCATCTGGCTCTAGTGTGACAGCGCTCATAGGGGGCTTGGTGTAGGATGTTTGTGGATGGATTGCGGGTTGGGTAGGCCAGTCTGGTGTTCAAGCACCTCAGGGTACTACTGCGGTTTCAGCCCCCGGGTCTCTCGGGCACATATCCTCCATTTGTGTTAACCAAGAGTAAAATCTTACAAAGTGTTCCCTGCACAAGAGATGTGGTGACCAAATGGTCAGTGCACTAGGCTTCCGTTCTAGAGATCTAGGTTTGAGACCAAGTCATTTTGTTGTGTCCTTGGGTAAAACAGGTTATGTACACGGTGCATCTCTCCAATCAGGAGTAAAAATAAACAAAAAAAGTACCTGTCGATGTACTCAAAAATAGCCACCATCATCTCATCTTCATTCTTTGGGGCTGGCCTGGAAATAAATTATAAAATGTTTATTTCTTTTACTTAATGTATGCAAAAGGTACACCTACAGTACAGAGAGGGTTAACCAGTAACAGCAATACTTACACAAGAGGAAAGAAAGAGGAGGAGAAGTAATAAAACCATATAATACAACAGAGAAATCACATTAAGATTTGTTCCCATTTGCTCTATGCTCCCAAGGCAAGGATACACTCATGCAGAATAGGCCACCCTTAGCTTAAATAACACAAATATAAAAATTGCTGCTTACTTGTTTTCAGGATGACAACAAGGATGAATGATTCCATTCATGTCCAGGTATAAGTTATCAAATTCATAGTCATTGGGGTTTGGTAAACTTGTGTCCACTGGGGCTCTAACTCCATCCACTTCTCGTCCCTAGGATGGTGAAAAACTAAGATAAATATTCATTTTGCAAACCAAAATTTCTGTGCTATGGTGCTATGCAATCATTTTTTCCTTCAGTGGATTAAGGGCTCGATTTTCTAAAGAAACTGTGGTCCTGTATTGGTGAAGGGGTATTACTAGATAATGTGGTTTTATAAACTGGGTCGGTAATGTTAATTAGCCACAGGAAATAGATTCTAAAACTGACATCTCAAGTATTAGCGTTTCATCAGAGCAAACGATGAAGGGGTAACCGTTGAAAAATCAGCTTTAGAAACTCTATTCAGTGGCCAATATACATTATCCTCAGTTGATAAAACCAAATTATTATTTTTCCTTTCCCTACCACTTTGATCAATAATAAAAATACGAAATTGGTCCTTTTAGAAGAGGCATAGAAGATACATGCACACTGTAACATTACCTAGTTCTTTAATAGCAATCCAATATAGAAACTTCTTAATTTAAGAAAATCGTTCATTAATGAACAAAAAACTCTGTGCTCGAGTTTTGATCCTTGATCAAGTCAGCTTTCTCACTTTCAGAAAGAGCTTTCACTATCTTAAGAGGACTGTTTCCGAGTCCGCGCGCTGAGAAGTCTCAATTTTAAAGTGTTTCTTTGACAAACAGTTGGCACTGATCTCTATTTAAACGGCCTTCCTACATTGATAATAGTTAATTAATACTTAATTTAATTGAATATCATAGCAACAGGGCAGAAAGACCGAAAAATACCGACTCAAAAAGTAATCTTAAACACGTGTAGCTGGACCAACAACAAGCTAAGCTATCAATCCTTCCATCGACTCACCTTTTCTTCTACACAGTGGACTACGATCGACGGGTACTTCTTTGATAGCCAGCGAAAAAATGCTGGAACTCCCATCCCCGCGTATTCGGTTGAGCAAATTGAAGTTAACTCAACGCTGAAATGTATAAAAGCCTACGTAGAAAGGTCATAGGCTTATTGAAGAAGATACTAAGGTTTCCTCAGCTGAGAAACTACACTTAATACATGACGTACTTACCAAACTACCAGGTGATATACCGCTGACAGGTTTATCTCGCAATGGTAAAACATAGGCAAGAAATGCGTGCATACATCTTCAAACCACATCGGGAGAAAAGTTTAAGTTCGTCGCTAAAAAAAAAATATTCAAAAAATCAAATTCATGACTTTTTTCTGACAAGATATACTTCAATAGTTAATTTTTCAAGCAACTTTGGGTGGTGATGCCTGCCGCGTTCCATTAGGTGTCCTCGTACGACTTTTTTGGTCATCTCGTATCAATATTCTCTAAAGCAACAAAAAAACCAACCTCACAAAACAAAAATAATATAAAACAAATAAAGCTTTTCGTTTAGACCACGGATGCTTAAAAAGCCAATAGTGAAGGGTGGAACAGAAACTTGCTGTTACTACGAAACAAAAAAACTTATTTTGATTTTAGATATATGAAAATTCAACCCAACAAATCGACCAGCTCCCAGTTGGCTTGTTAGCTCAGTTGGTAGAGCGCTGCACCGGTATCGCAGAGGTCATGGGTTCAAATCCCGTAAGGGCCTGAAGGTCCTATTTTCAACTACTCGTTTCAGTAGTGTTCTTAGCTGCGAGGATCTCTTACATTCGTCAAAACTTATTTTGTTCTTTTCTTGTTTTTATGGACCGTCTATTGATTAAAAAATTTCATTGTGAAACTAAAAACAATAGAGTGAAGGCCTATATAGTTAGATACTCTTAAAGTTATCTGTCAAATGTTTATAAAAGATGGCGCAAACGGAGTCTCTGCCATTGGGTTCTCCACAGCAATGAAGCTGTGCCACTTTTCATCTTACCAATATCAATCCCAATTCATTGGAAAGTCTCATTATTGTGATGCTCGGAAATCTTGAAATCATTACATTTTGTTATGTACCAATGATTTTGTCATTAAAAGGCTGTCGCTGTGTAATGTTGAAGTTTGTAGAAGTAATAATTAAAAACTCAACAGAATTCCCTCAACTTTGTGTACCTATCCTCTTAAAAACAATAGTTGGTGGTGGATATTATTTGTTCTACTGAGCGACGACTCATTAATTTTGATCAGGATTCAGATACAAGTGAAGAGGAAGGGATCGGCGAGGAAAGTCTCTTTAACACCGACAGAAAGGTTAAAGCTGTTTATGAAAGCCAATGATCGATCAGATGAAGAGAAGCTCCTACCAAAATCTAGTTTTAAGAATACTTTAATTTGTGAATTGTATATTTATCGCTTTCCCCATGGCAAGCTTTCAGAAGTTTGGATAATGTCCTCACTTTACTTTCGTTTCATCTATATTTACGTTAAAATTGAATAAATAATAATAATACAAGACGATTTCATATTAGCCATCTTTTATTTGCCAATGTGTGTGTAACTCGGGGTGTATGCATTAATTAACAGCAGTTGTTCTATTCAGTAACCAAGCTAAACAATGATTTAAAGATATCTGTATGGCGCTCATTAAGTCTATACAGGTGAGAAAAGATTGTAAACAAGGCTTATGAAAACTTTATTACGGCAACCGCATTACGGCCACCTCGTTAATACGGCCACTTTTTTTGGTCCCGACGAAACGCGCGCCCATACAGGTAAGTTAAGTTTAAATTTGCTTTAAATTTAAATTTTGCTTAAGTTTAAATTTGCCAAATTTCCATGGCCCGTTGGTGGCCGTATCAACGGGGTTCCACCAAAAATTTTACAAAACATCTGGTAAGTTAAAAAAAGAAATCCTATGAAAGTTTTATAAAGTCATAATTATTTTACAATAAATATTGTGGAAAAATTCCAGTCACGAAATGAACTGACATGCATTTTTACAAAAACTCAAGAAAGAACGAATAAACAGAAGTTTACGATGCAAATTACAGTTTGATAAAAATTTATTATTAAAAATGGGAAGCCACATAAAATTCATGTCTGTCTCGGCTGCATACGTGAATACAACTTCAAAAAGAGCATGCGAGAGATAAACTACTTTTTGGCTGGGTTTTTTTTATTAGCGTGTGCCTTTAAGGCCTCCTCCAACAGCACCTCTCCTTCTGTCTTTTTGGGCTCCTCACTCACTTTACTGGACTGTGAATCCTGCTGAACATACCAAAAATGTCGGTTAACTTTGGTGTAAGAACCTGTGAAGTTTGTCTTTGTTTTGTCACTATTATTTTCCTAGTCTCTATTGTTTTGACTTCGTTACGTCACTTGTGAACGTAACAGGTTCTTAAATCGAAGCTGAGCCAAAATGTCGAAACCAAATAATTGAGTCAAATGGGGCTACTTCATTCTGGGCACTGCAAACGGAGATATTTCTGTAGGCTTACAGCCGACAGTGTTCATATGTTTTTGCCGTAGCGGCATGTTCCCCGTGCAAAGACCGCGGCTTTCCAACTGATTGGAGATAGTTAGGAAGCACAAACTAAAATCGGTGTGGCATTCGACTTCACGTGGCACGTTCGTGACTGCGGTAAAAAGAGTCCAGAAAAAGCCTGTACTTTTAATAGCTCTCTATTTTTCTATATCACAGATATTTCTCTGAAATGAAGCAGAGATCGGGTCATTACACCATAGAAAGTGACGGTAATTTACCCTTTCTGAGATGCAAGACTTGCCTCCAAATCGAGCTTCGAAAGCTGAGCTCGGAGCGAGGAAAATACACAAAACATGAGCTAAAACCGGACCGAGAAGGATTTTATGAAGGCCTAACAGAAGCATATCTTAACCTTCTTCTTAACTTTCTACTATTGCTAGCTCCGCAGGTCAGATGGCGATAGGTTAGTATGCTACAGAGTATTTTAGGTCAGTGTTCCATAGAGTTTTATTAGAAATTATTCAGATTTTTGTATCTTAGTAATCCTGGTTTCGTTGGAAGCTTCTTTTAGACCACTTATTATAAAAGAAATAGACATTTCCCTGTGGTCAAATTGCCAGAAAATAACTTTGAATACCTTTTTGAAAAAAAAAACTCCTTGACACACCTACTTTTCGACATGACTGTTTATCAGTTCATTAGATTACGGGGTAGAAAACCTGAGTTACCCGGTGGATATTAAAGTAAAATTCACTGCCACGTTAAATTTCACGCGAAAAGCCGATATGGTACGAATCGTTAAGCGATGAGTGCGATATCTGTCTTTTAAGTGAAATTTAACGTGGAACTCACTCGTCAGGCAGTGGATTTTTCTTGAATCGCATAGCTAAAGCCATCAAATCACAGGGCGAAACCAAACGTTTTGCATTTTTGTGAGCCGCGCCAGTGTACAAGTCCTTGTGGCATATCGACTACTCATCATGTCGAGAAAGTTTTTATCGAGTCTTTATTCCCTGGTTTCCCAGAAACGCTGTGTGATCCAGATACTCGTGCACGGTGAGTGGTCATGTCATTAAAAAAGCAGAGGGTTCCGGCGTGTTCTGTGAACGTCACATGTTTGCAATACTTTCATAAGATTTCTTAGCAGGAAGGTTGAAGTGGTCGCTTTATTTTTGTAACAACCGAGCGGGAGCGTTGAACCTTTTGTCTCCAATTATTAAATATTTGCGTAACTGTTTGTAACATGTATGTATTGAGCATACCTACATATCTTTTTTTTTTAATTCCTACCTGCTTATGTGATGGAGAAGGAAACAGAGAACGGGAAGATTGTTTTTTAGAGTTCCCAGCCTTTTCACCTCCTCCTGCTCCTTCATCTTTTCCTATTTCCACACGCCTCTTAGGCCTTTTCCTCTGCAGTTTGGTGAAATACAAGTAACAAGTAATTAGAGCTCAACTTGATCATGACAACAAAATGTTTCAGTTTATCTGACATGTTTTGGTAACGTTTACAAAACACATATCGCTGGAGAAAAAAATAACATTTTGATTAATTAACCACCTTACTCGCAAAGGTCCAATTAGCAAAACATCCCCCTAAAAAGTTTGAGTTCAGGAAACATATCGAGTTTTTCGGTCCTTCGTCTGTAGTAAAGGTAATAGTGATATTAACGGTTGAGCTGCACACAACTTTTTAAATTCCGTACTATGGGACCTTTGCCTAATTTTCACAGGTATACTACGATAAAATTTAAACTAATGAAACAAGTTAGATGGAACCTGTTACAACAAATTTGAGGGCCAGCGATTTATCTGCAAATTAGGCTTCAGTCCCCTCGCGTCCGTATACCCACATTGAAATTTCCGCGCGAAAAGGACAGTAATGTTGTGCAGTTTGTCGTGCTATGCTCGTTTCTTTGTTGCATCTCGTGTACTCCTTCTATCCAAACCGTCAGGTACGTTTTGCGTTGTCTTTTGCCGTTTGATGTTTCGCTTTGTGATTATAATTATTGTTGTCGGTAGTTGGTTGTAGTATAATTTATTTAATCACGTTTCAGAAACCGCTTGTTACGAATAAGTTGTATGGTTCGTGTAACCGCTTTGAAATTTGCCGGTGCGTTCCCTACAGTTTCTGACGAGAGATTAAGCTGTTTGACCGTCTGTTCGTCTCGTCTGTTCTGGTCGAATTATATCTACAGATCTTCCGTTAGATGAGCAAGCGGTCGAAGGATTCGAAAGGACTCGACAACTAAGATCGCGCCCGGACATCGAAGATGTTGCGCGTGAAAGAATGATTTCCCTAAAGAGAAGTCACCTTGGGTATTTGAACAGGTTGTACAAAGAAGCCGAATTATTGATGCGAAATCCCGAAAACTTTCGAGAAATTCGTTCTAAGAAGAAAGATATTGAAGACGCGTTTGGTAGATTTATTCAGTCCAACGAAGAATATTATCAACTCGTTGCGGAACCCGAAACGAAGGCGGGAGGGGGGCACTGGAGCCTATTAGAAACCGCAAAACCGTAGAAAAATCATCCAAACCAAAAAAACTGAAAAAACCGAAAACCGCATGCAAAACTGTCAAAACTAATACATTTTCAGATCCCAGTTATTAAAACTGCGATCAATCCGATACAGTGGTGACAGGTGGAGCATACAGAGTAAACTACACTAATTTCATCACAGTATTTGTGAATGCCATGGATTTGGCTTTCTTATCTTCTACTATCTGCTTAAATTATAGGCTTCATTTCAGCTGCTCTCTCGAGGACCTCGAGCGCGGTCTCTGCGGACTCAGCAGCTGGTAATGGAGCCCAGTTTAATAAAGGAAACTCGCACAAAAGTCCTCCATAGGATTGCAATTTTGCAGTCGCAAAAAAGCTATTGCTCTGGAAAGTTTTATCGAAAATCCCCAATATAACATTTCGATTTGCGAACTAAGAGCTAAAAGTTTGAAAATTCTATTGGAATGTTGAATCAATCAGTCACGTGTGGAAAGAAACTCTGGCAATGTTACGTGCTAAGCCATTGTTGCTTCTTGGTCCTTCTTGTCGCATTGTCCTTTGTCTTACTGCTGCACCATATTCGTCACTCCTATGGATGGTCAAAGTCTTGGGCGTCATTTAAGACTCGTGAACCCCCTAGGGATTAGCCTACGTGTAGCCGTACCCTCCCCTCCCTCCCATGGTGAAACGGAGGCGAGGTTCCCTCACTACCAATTCATCTTGGCGGGGGAGGGTACGGTTCGCGTAGGCTACCTAAGGATCCCTGCGATATTTCAATTGGTTTGTCACCCATTCCTCTCAATAACATTTGCGTTTAGCGGCTATTCGAGATCAGTGGAGGCGCGTAAATTGCCGCTCAGATCGAAAAGAAACCGGACCCCAAATAGGTCAAATAGGAAAACCCGAAAATCACGTCGGATATCAAATTCGAAAACCCGCCGGTACTTTTTGCGAAAACCGAAAACCAAATGCTAAATAGCAGAAATCCCGCAATGAACACCAAAACCGAAAAAGCGAATTTTTTTGGCGCAAAAACCGAAAAACCGATCTAAAAAATAGCCAAAACCGCAAAACCGAAAATCCCAATACCCTCCTCCAGAAGCGCTTAACGATTACTACAGCGTAATGATCGGCAGAAAAGAGTCCGACGAACGCCTTGAAGAGTGGCTACAGACAAACTGATAGGTCTCCAAATGAAATTTTAATGTCTTCGCATAAAGGAGAAAATGTTACTGTTGTGGACCACCATGTTACGCTTTCACCCGCCGACTCTGGAAGCGCAAAGTCCAAAAGTTCGAATGCTAGTTCGCGTGCAAGTGAAAGATCGAGTAGGGCAAAGGCTGAATTACTTCTACGAGAAGTAGAACTTAGGAACGGCGACTTGAATCAAGTAGGGAGAAGTTATTCAAGATCAGAGCTGAACCCAACTGCCGAGCCGTGGTGCCCAGCCCCCTCTCGGTCCGCTGCTAGTGGTGAAGATCCCATTGTTTCACAACGGTTACAACAAGTATTGGGGTAGCAACAACAAGCTTTATATGTAATGGCCTATTCACTCCAGCAAGCACTTCAAATGCTCAAAGAGAGCTTCTCACTTTCGATGGCAATCCTCTGAATTACTGGTTGTTCGTCAACAACTTCGAAGTCAACATCGCTAAAAAGGGTTCCAGATGCCGAGTCAAGACTCATGTACCTTATCCAACACTGCACAGGAAAAGCTAAAAAAGCCATCAAAAACTGCTCTATAATTTTCCCACCTGAACATGGTTACAAAAAGGCCTAGGACATTCTGTACCGTAGATTTGGAAAAAAAAACACGTTATTGCGCACGCGCACATCGAGAAGATAGTTAAAAGTCCTCAGCTGAGACGTACGGATGTCGTTGGTCTATCAGATCTGTCCGTTCAGATGCAGAATTATGCGCTGACACTCACCCAGATGGGCTACGAAGCCGACATAAACAGCTCCAACAATCTCGTGAAGATCGTGAAGCGCCTCCCAGTAAACTTACAGTCTAAATGGGCTGACGAAGCCGGAAACCTGACCCTCACGGGAATTGAGCCTACATTCTCGCATTTGGCAAAGTTCGTTGGAGGAAAGGCTATGCTGGCCAACACGATGTATGGAGAGATAGTTGGATCGGCACTACACAAAGAGCGGAGCACTACGCAACCATCCAAAGAAAAAACCGCTGGCCGAGACGAAGGAAAAACTTATAAGACACAATCCAGAGCTGGTGATGGACCTGTGCGAAATGCTACTCCTCCCGTTCCCAATTGTCCTTTGTGTTCTGATTAACACAGACTTGCGAAGTGCCAGCTAATGGAAGCGAAGAGCCCGGAAGAAAGGAAAGGCTTTGTTAGACAAGCTGGGCCACGCGGCAACTATTTTGGAAGCGGTTGCATGGCCATTGAATGTAGTAGTAAGATGAAATGTCAAGTAAATGGTTGTGGGTGGAAGCGCCACACAATGCTGCATCTAGTTCGGAAGAAGAACAGGATGACATTAATGGCGGCACCCCCCTGCGGCGCAAACCTGCGGTCACTCGGGAAAAGACTGGAGCCGGGGACTCTGTTCGTTGTAGTGCTACAGAGTCCGGAAAGAAGAATGTTTGTTTAAGAATCGTTCCTGTTGTTGTGAAGGGACAAGGCCAGCACAGCGAAATTGAGACTAATGCATTGCTCGACCCAGGGTCGGACGTGTCATTATATGACCTAGGCCTGATGACGAAACTTGGTGTGGATGGGAGCCCAAAGTAATTCACCCTAGTAACTGTTGACGACACATCTGAACCACAAAATGGAAGCGAGGTCTTTCTGGTGGTTGGAGGACTTCACCTACATGAATACGTTACGGTAAATAGAGTCTGGGCTGTAGATTCTCTAGGTCTGCCTTGAGGTGGTGCATAGGAAGAAACAACAGTCAAATGGTCTCATCTCAGGGGAATAAACTTTCCAATAATTCAATCTGATGAAGTGTTAGTACTTATTGGCTGTAACGTTCCTGAAGCACATTGGGTGTACGACCAGAGACGTGGTAGGCGTGGCCAACCTTACGCTGTGCGCACCCCCCTTGGTTGGACTCTTATGGGGCCTTTGAACTCTTGCGAAAGGAGCTGCTCTAGTGTAAACTTTGTTCGTTATGCTTCACTAGCAAATGGAGCGGATGTTTAGAAATGACTTTAACGAACCTATGGTAGACTCGAGTATCGCAATGTCCGTGGAAGATCGTAGAGCTCTGAACCAAATGAAAGATTCCGTGGAAATCGTGTATGGTCACTATCAGCTGGGGCTACCATGGAAAAACAATTTTGTAAGCCCGCCGAACAATAGAGAATTTGCTGTGACGAAATGGAACCATCTAAAGAAACGCTTTCAGCGCGATCCTAACCTGTTTGAAAAGTATAAGGAAACCACAAATGTTTATGTCTCAAGTGGCTATGCAAGACTAGTGCCCCATGGCGAGCTAGAGGTTGATGAAGATACACCAGTTTGGTTCCTTCCCCATCATCCGGTTTTTCATCCACAAAAACTGGGAAGAGTCAAAGTCGTCTTCGACTGTGCAGCCAAGTATAAGGGTATTTCACTTAATGATCAGCTACTGCAGGGACCAGACCTGACCAACGGATTTGTAGGTGTCCTCACACGCTTCCGCCAAGAACCCATTGTCATGGTGGCCGATTTAGAAGGCATGTTCCAACAGGTGCGAGTGGCCCCTCGAGATTGTCAGGCGTTGAGATTCCTCTGGTGGCCTAACAGTGTCTTAACAGAGGAGCCAGTGGATCACCAAATGCAAGTGCATCTGTTCGGAGCTACATCATCGCCTAGCTGCGCAAGTTTTAGCCTAAAGCGGACGGCTTCTGATAATGAAGGTGAATTCGATCCCGAAACCATTCAAACCGTCAACCGGAACTTCTACGTGGAGGACTGCTTAAAGTCCGTGTCCACTACAGAGAAGGCAGTACGACTTTCCGGCCAGTTGAGGGAACTTCTGCTCAGAGGAGGATTTCGCCTAACAAAATGGCTTAGCAACGACAGAAACGTAATCGCTACCATTCCAGTGACAGAGAGCACCATCAGTTGTTAATCTTGACTTAGATGATCTTCCTACTGAGCGAACACTGGGCGTCCAGTGGGATCTGGAGTCAGACAGTTTCAACTTTCGCATCGTGGACCAAGAGAAGGCACCTACCCGTAGCGGGATATTATCAGTTGTCAATTCGATGTATGATCCCTTGGGGTTTGTGGCACCTGTGATCCTTCCTACAAAGAGCCTGCTTCAGAGCTTGTGTAATTGGAAGCACGGATGGGACAAAGAAATATCGGACGAGGATTCCGTGATTTGGCAAGGATGGTTAAAAGAGATTGACAGTTTAGGAACGTTATCAGCACCCAGATGTTTAAGCTAACAGGACTCGGAGAGGTCACGAAAGTTCAACGACACCATTTCGGATGCATCGGAACATGGCTACGGGGCGGTTTCCTACTTACGAATCATCGACTATGAAGGCATGGCACAAGGTTCCTTTGTCCTTGACTCTAGGCGCTGCTGTGGTCGCAATGAAACTTAACTGCCTTATTCGCAAAGAGCTCGAGTATCACATAGACGACACCATCCTCTGGACGGACTCCGCCGTAGTTTTACAGTACATTCGCAACGAGTCCAGAAGATTTCAGACGTTTGCCGCCAATAGAGTGGCCATGATCCATGACGAATCAACGCCCCAACAGTGGAGACATGTCAACACCGGCTCCAACCCTACTGATGTTGCCCCTAGAGGAGCAAAGGGGGCAGAGCTGAAAGAACGAAGATTCTTGGTCAAACAACCCTTGACCTTGCCTGATTTGTCCGGACGACCACGAATTAAAGAAACCGACAGGTCAGCTCAACGTAATCGCCCATGGAAGCAGCCTTTAGTTATTGTTTTCCCGCTTCTCATCCTGGGACGCCCTACGTAAGGTGATTGCCTGGATGGCACAATTTAAGAAGTGTATGCTCAATTGCAGTTCTAAGGAGCAACACAACGTCCCCAGAGGACCCCTTACCTTACTAGAAGTTACTGGAGCCGAGAATGACATCGTCAAATTGGTACAGAACGATGCCTTCCCGAGAGAAGTAGCTGTGTTTGACCAGACAGCATCAGGATTCAGGATAAAGAGCGTGCCACGTACTAGCCTGATTCGCGATTTAAACCCTTACCTGACGGAGGGCATACTAAGAGTAGGAGGACGCCTCGAGAATGCTCCAGTCTCCTTTGAAGCTAAGCGCCCCATTATTCTGCTAAGCAAACATCACGTCACCAATTTGTTTATCTTAAATTTTCATCAGCAACAGGGGCATTCGGGTCCTGCTCACGTCCTGGCTGCCATTAGACATAAATATTGGATAGTGCGGGAACTTTCAGCGGTACGTAAGGAACAAGCGAAGTGCATGAATTGTCGCGAACGGAACACCCGTCCTGGTGAACAGATAATGACCCCACTACCTGCGACAAGAGTTGCTCCATTTGATCCACCGTCCACACAAGTGGCCATGGACTACTTTGGCCCCTTGTTCATGAAGCAAGGACGACGTGAAGTGAAACGATATGGCTGTTTATTCACATGCCTAACCATGAGGGCAGTGCAAATTGAGGTTACACATACGTTAGAAGCAGACTCCTTCATCTGCGCGTATCAGCGTTTTGTCAGTCGAATAGGAAAGTCTCAGGCGATATACAGCGACAATGGCACCAACTTTACTGGCGCGGAATGAGAGTTGAGAGACGCATTCAAGCACTTGGATCAAACGAACGTCTGTGACCGGTTAAGGAAGGACGATGTTCAATGGTACTTTAACTCGCCAGAAGCCAGCCATCAAGGTGGAATTTGGGAACGTATGATTAGGTCTGTTCGGAAAATTCTGGGCGCCCTGCTGAAGGAGCAGCGCATCAAGAACGAAACATTGACAACCCTGTTGTGCGAGGTGGAGAAGATCCTCACTGACAGACCCTTGACCCCCCTAAGCGACCACCCTAACGATCCTGAGCCGTTGACGCCCAAAAAACTGTTGCTCCTTAAGTCTAACATCTGTCTTCCACTTGACGTATTCAAAGAGCAAGACAAGTACGGCAAACGCTGGCGTCACGCACAGTGCCTGGCAGACGCCTTCTGGAAAAGATGGTTGAGGGATTACTTGCCCGCATTGCAAAGAAGACAGAAATGATACTCGCCACGCCGCAATTTTGCCATGGGTGATTTGGTCCTCGTTGTTGACGAGAAGGCACCACAAGGGCATTGGCCAATGGGTGTCATCGAGGAGGTGTACCCCGACAGTAACGGACATGTCCGAAATGTGAGAGTCAGAACTGCATCGTCTGTGTGCAGACGAGACATCAGAAAGCTGAGTCATCTTGAAGCAAATATGAACTGCGTAAACAAAGTAACTTGTTTTCTTTAGTTAGAATCAGCCCAGGTAGCTAATTCGGGGGCGGGATGTTACGACAAATTTAAGGGGCCTGCGGTTTATCTGCATATCAGGCTTCAGTACCTTCGCGTCCGTATCCATATATTGAAATTTTCGGGCGAAAAGAACAGTAGTATTATGCAGTTTGTCGTGCTATGATCGTTTCTTTGCTGCATCTCGTGTACTCCTTCTTTCCAAACCGTCAGGTACGTTTTGCGTTGTCTTTTGCCGTTTGATGTTTCGCTTTGTGATTATAATAATTGTTGTCGGTAGTTGGCTGTTGTGTAATTTAATTTAATCACGTTTCAGAAACCACTGGTTACGAATAAATTGTGTGGTTCGTGTAACCGTTTTGAAATTTGCCAGTGCGTTCGTTACAGAGCCTACTGATGGCTCTCCTTTACGTCGAATATCGTTTGGAATCCTATCCATGGGTGTGGGGCTAACTATGGGTCTGAGATTAAGACTCCTCTTTAGTTTTTTATCAAAAGAAGCAGAGGGTTCCGGCGTGTCCTGTGAACGTCACATGTTTGCAATACTTTCGTAAGATTTCTTAGCAGCAAGGTTGAAGTGGTTGCGTTATTTTTGCAACAACCGAGCGGGAGCCTTGAACCTTTTGTCTCCACTGAAGAACACTAAGCGGGGTAACATACATTATTAAAAATTTGCGTAACTGTTTATAACATGTATGTATTGGGCATACCTACATATCTTTTTTTTAAATTCCTACCTGCTTATATGATTGTTTTTTAGAGTTCCCAGCCTTTTCACCTCCTCCTGCTCCTTTATTTTTTCCTTTTTTGGAAAAGTCTTTACCATTTTTCACATTTCTGTCTACTCGTTTTCCATACGTTTTATCCAGTTCTGCCTAGAATCATATAAGTAATATGCAAGAGTTAATACCATGCATAAATTGGCATTGAAAGTTACCTCCAGTTCAGTCCTCGTTTTGTAATATTTTTTCTTCCAGGCCTAAATTGCAACACAAGGAATAGAAAGAAACCCGTTGATTGTTTTGAGGAAATCTTGCTACAGAAAGAAATCTGTCAGAGGGGCAACGGGTCCCGCCAGCGGAAAAAAAACCAACACTGGTAAAAATGCTGGCAAAGTTTATCGTTACATTACCCTGCCCTAGTATGTACTCTCACTTTTTTCCACGATCTAAAGGAACTTGAAATTCTAGTCAGATCTTCTGCTGGAATTATATTGATGTATTATTCCTTTACTTTGTCATGAAAAAATACTCAGATCACTCAGCGTTTCTGGGAAACCAGAGTATATAGACTTGATAAAAAAACCGTCTCGATACGATGACTACTCGATATGCCACAAGGATGTGTCGTTGGTCTGTTTCATGAAAAAGTTTCGTTTTTCTCTTTTCACGAGTCGAACGAGTAATTTGAACAAATGTCGTTTTCAATGAGTCGCGTCCTTGTGGCATATCGACTACTCATATTGAGAGGGTTTTTGTCGAGTCTTTATTCCCTGGTTTCCCAGAAACGCTGTGTGATCCAAATACTTGGGCACAGTGAGTGGTCATGTCATTAAAAAAGTAGAGGGTTCCGGCGTGTTCTGTGAACGTCACATGTTTGCAATACTTTCGTAAGATTTATCAGCAGGAAGGCTGAAGTGGTTGCTTTATTTTTATTACAACCGAGCGGGAGCCTTGAACCTTTTTTCTCCACTGAAGAACACTAAGCGGGGTAACATACATTATTAAATATTTGCGTCACTGTTTGTAACATGTATGTATTGGGCATACCTACAAATGTTTTTTTAATTCTTACCTGCCTAAGAGATGACGATGGAAACAGAAAACTGGAAGATTTTTTTCCAAGGTTCCAAGCCTTGTCACCTCCTCCTGCTCCTTCATCTTTTTCTGTTTCGATACGCCTCTTAGGCCTTTTCATCTGCAATTTCGTAAAATACAAGGAAAAATGTGATTAGAACTCAACTTGACCATGATAACGAAGTTTTTCAATTTATCTAACATCATGTTTTGGCAATGTTTCCGAAACACATATCGCCCGAGGAAAAATAACATTTTGATAAATTAACCACCTCACTCGCAGAGGTCCAATTAACAAAACATCCCCCTAAAAAGTTTGATTTCAGGAAACATATTGAGTTTTTCGGTCCTTCGTCTATAGTAAAGGTAATAGTGATATTTATGGTTGTGCTACACACAACTTCTTAAAGTCTCAAAGTACTATGAGACCTTTGCCTAATTTTAAACGGTTTACTACGATAAAATTTAAACTAATAAAACAAGTTAGAAGGAGCCTACCGATGGCTGTTCTGTACCTCGAATATCGTTTGTAATCGTATCCATGGATGTTAGTGTGGGGCTAACTATGAGTCTGTAACAAAGACACCTGTTTAGTTTCTAATCGGGCTTCAGAGTCTTAATGCAATGCAAGCCGTTCCTGGTCCCAGGCGTTCCTTGCGTAAACCGCGGAAACTGGGGATGAGAGTGCGACAACTTTTGTTATCACGTGCTCGCTCTTCGTAAGCAACGTAAGTTACAGAATGCAGGGTATTTAGAGGACCCATGTGCAAAGATTCCTGTCTCATAAGCTCATCTTACATACAAAATGATATCGAGCGTTTTCGGAACGGACCGGTCCACGAACTCTATAGCTTGAAAGCTAGCCAAATGTGCAAAGTTCATACTAGTTCTCACGAGATAACAAATGAGCCATATGTGAGTTCAAACTACGAAAATACTGGCAAAACTGTGACAGTCGATTTAACAACAAACTATGATGCTGAGACGAACACCTCACTAGCTGAAAAAATCAAGAATGTTCGAGAACACAACTTCGAAGGTGACGCAAACAACAGCGAATTGGATAAGGATAGTGTTAGAATCAACTTGAATAGCAAGGTTAAATATCTAAGTTTAGCTCTTCTGTTAAATATCCTGTTTCTATTATTGGTTTTTATTGGGTTTAATACTTGTAAAGTACGATTTGGTATTTCGTACATAATCACCATTATTATTGTACTTTTTCTAGTAGATCACAGTCATTAAGAGTATTCATCATGTCTTCTACTAAGCACATACAACTCCATGCGAAGAGCAAACCAACATTCACGATCGCTTGTACAATACTAGTATGAACTTTGCACATTTGGCTAGCTTTCAAGAGAATGTTGTTTTATTTGGACAAAATGCAGGGGCAGCAATGTGTTGCAATGAGTTTATGTGCATTAATATACCACAATATGAGAGGAAAAAGCAATCGCCATGACTTGAAACAAATAATGCACATTGGAAATCAACTATGTAGCAGTTTGTCACAGTAATCAAGACAATCATTTTTACTGCCAATAGACCTACCATCAATGCTTACAATACTAGAGGAAGATTACCAGCTAGAATTCAGTACAAGTGACACTGGTAATGTCCATGATGAGCCTACCATTGAGGGATATCAATACTGTATGGGCCTGAAAAGAGCTTTGGAGTCATTGATATCAGAACGATATAGGTCATATACTTGAATATTTGGATGTATTGCTGTGGGTATTAGTTACTGTGCTGATAATGGCCATTTTAAAGCGTTTGACTCACATGCTAGAGATGTTTATGGTGAAAGTCATGCACAAGGGACATGTTCTATGAGATATATCATCTACAGACAACTTAGTGCATTACTTTCAAAGTTTATAGAGAGCAACTGATCTGTATGAACTAAAAGGTTTACAAATTACAAAATATAACATGGCAATAAGCAACAATGTAAGAGAGGTATGAAAGAGATATCAAGTCAACACAAGTGTTGCAAAGACCACTGTTTTGCAGTAGTTCTGTATTCTATATGTTACTCAATCATTTCACCTTGTAGTTACTGGAACTCAAATACCTTAGATGCAATGGATCTCAGCTTAACAATATGATGCACAGTTGAGTAAGCACTGTTTAACATCCGTTACCCTGCCTGACAATGTTGCAATTTTTGGCTTTAACATAAATGTACACATTAATGAAGTAAGTCATGGAGAATTAAGTTATTGAACCGAAAGCAGAATATCTTTAGCGACCCTGATTTTAAGGAACCACACTGGGAAAACAGGCTTTTTAATGTGGATTTCACTGAAATTAACTTGAAGTTACTGTATAGTATGTATTTATCAACAAAATACAAAAGTAAAGCAATTGTTTTCTCTTCTGACATGTGAGAACAGTCATTCACCTGCAATGAAACAGACAAAACACGTTCGTAGTGTGAATAATCTAGTAGAGGAAGTTAATAATATTATTAAAAGAAAAAAAGGAATGTCAGACTATTGAATATGATATACAA